GAAGAACAGTTTAGAACTGATAGAGCTATCCAGTATAAATAAAGTTAGTTTAGTTTAGGTTTCTTCCTGTAGTAACACTGGATCAATAAGAGATGATCCTTACTGGACCTCTAGGGAGAACAGTTTACAACCGATAGAGTTATCCAGTATAAATAAAGTTAGTTTTTAGTTTAGGTTTCCTCCTGTAGTAACACTGGATCAATAAGAGATGATCCTTACTGGACCTCTAGCGAGAACAGTTTAGAACTGATAGAGCTATCCAGTATAAATAAAGTTAGTTTAGTTTTGGTTTCCTCCTGTAGTAACACTGGATTAATAAGAGATGATCCTTACTGGAGCTCTAGGAAGAACAGTTTAGAACTGCTAGAGCTATCCAGTATAAATAAAGTTAGATTACCCTAACGGCCAACGCTTGATCTTTTTCCATTATCCACGGAACATATCGCCACAGCAACTCTTCGTTATTTATACTAGAAATATACATTCTTATTATTATTATTTTAATTCTGGGTTTACAGTATATAATTTTTATTTTTTAAACATAATTTCCTTGCCTTGTCAGACATTTTATGATATGTTCAATCCCGGTGAAGTTTGAGTCCTCTAAATCCTTGTCCACTAATCTGTATATTAAAAAAAAAAAGTTTAAAAATTGTCCATATTTGAGACTTCTCATATGTTACAACATATTTATGGTAAGCACAGAGTCTATTACGAGTGACGTTTCAAACCTTTTCCATGTGTCTAGGGCTTTTGCTGGTTCATTCCTTGTGTTATAAAACAGTGCCAGACTGTGATATCGCTGAAAGAACAGAAAACTAATGTTAGCAAGGAGATTCAGCCATGCAGGAATCGAGTCCATTGCTGGTAAGTTCTTACTGGAACTAACTTTATTTATACTGGAAAGCTTTATCAGTTCTAAACTGTTCTTCCTAGAGGTTCAGTGAGAATCATCTCTTATTGATCCAGTGTTACTACAGGAGGAAACCTAAACTAAACTAACTTTATTTACACTGGATAGTTCTATCAGTTCTAAACTGTTCTTCCTAGAGGTCCAGTAAGGATCATCTCTTATTGATCCAGTGTTACTACAGGAAGAAACCTAAACTAACTTTATTTATACTGGATAGCTCTATCAGTTCTAAACTGTTCTCCCTAGAGGTCCAGTAAAGATCATCTCTTATTGATTCAGTGTTACTACAGGAGGAAACCTAAACTAACTTTATTTATACTGGATAGCTCTATCAGTTCTAAACTGTTCTCCCTAGAGGTCCAGTAAACCTACTTTATGTTTCTTTAACCATTCAACGCTGTCCTCGTACACGCATGCGTTATTACTGCAAATGAGATCTTCGAGGATGGGGGAGTTCTCTTCGGCATAAAGTTTTAATAATGCCGTGTCAATCTCCTACGAAAATAAAGTTGAAATATCATTTCATCTGCTGAAATGTCTACCTGTCCACATTATCTGGAGAAAACGTATGGTGTTTGGTAGAGGTCAAACTGAAAATCTTCTCACATGTGACTGAGGTGAAATTATAATCAGACAACTGGATATTGCAGAAATCAAACCTCAGTCACAGAGATGAAAGATATCAACAACCAATAAATGCATTTTTTACTCACATTTTTTAACGTGTTGTAAACAGAATCCTGCCCCTTGCTTTGTTCCTGGAGGATTAAATGTTTCTTTATTAAACTATGTTCCACTAAATCATGAAATACAAAACCAACCATCTACCTTGCTACATAGTTCAAACTTACTATATATTCTAAAACATATATTTTGATATTCTTCTCCACTTCTGGATCGCTTTTTGCTGAAATAAGATGAAAAATATTTTAAACAAAATGAATTTTGATAGTGATACCTTCACTAAACTGATTTAATTTTTACTTAAAAGCTCTATCCACTGTGTGACACTCCAAATTTAAAACGGTCTTACCTAATTGTCGAATACTTTCTATTCCAGGTACTTCAGATTTGAAATGAGAATTTGTTGATAACAGTTCAGGAAAGATGCCAATAAGCTAACGAGAAAATGACATTGTAAGTACACAGATTTGAATTGGTCTGGTGAAGCATTCCACAGTAAGTAGTTGCAATGTCGTCTGTCTGAACTTTCTTCATGAAACTGTAGCGCTACAAACCTCTCGAACGTCCAAGTTTCCCTGATGCATCAGCTCTGAAGCTTGTCTGTACTTTCCCTCTGATAAATACACAAAACCTGCTTGTTGTTGGACTCGGATTACGAGCTGAAAGATAAATAAATTGATCCAGGTCCAGTGATGAGAATGTTTCATTGTTTTGAAAATCTCACTGTTCTCCATGTCATCCAGTCATGATCCAGTGATCAGAATGTTCCATTGTCTTTTCATTGTTTTGAAAATCCCACTGTTCTCTATGCCATCCAGTCATGATCCAGTGATCAGAATGTTCCATTGTCTTTTCATTGTTTTGAAAATCCACTGTTCTCCATGCCATCCAGTCATGATCCAGTGATCAGAATGTTCCATTGTCTTTTCATTGTTTTGAAAATCCCACTGTTCTCCATGCCATCCAGTCATGATCCAGTGATCAGAATGTTCCATTGTCTTTTCATTGTTTTTGAAAATCCCACTGTTCTCTATGCCATCCAGTCATGATCCAGTGATCAGAATGTTCCATTGTCTTTTCATTGTTTTTAAAATCCCACTGTTCTCTATGCCATCCAGTCATGATTCAGTGATCAGAATGTTCCATTGTCTTTTCATTGTTTTTAAAATCCCACTGTTCTCTATGCCATCCAGTCATGATCCAGTGATCAGAATGCTCCATTGTCTTTTCATTGTTTTGAAAATCCCACTGTTCTCCATGCCATCCAGTCATGATCCAGTGATCAGAATGTTTCATTGTCTTTTCATTGTTTTGAAAATCCCACTGTTCT